ATGAATTTAATCAAAACCAGTGAAAGATTTCCTCAATTTGACAGAATCTTGTTTCCAAACAAAGACGGTTTTGAAATGAAATGTAAAAACAGGGAAGAGAGTGAGAAAAAACCTTTGGCGTGCAAAGAAAGTTTCCTTCCGACAAAGACGAAGACGAAGATTCAGACGATGATGCTGCTTTTGGGAAATGAGAGGGAAACTGCGATATTTTATCGGTGAGAGAAAACCGTAGAACATTAGGTCAGGTGAAGAAAAGTTTATATATTTTCCCAGAGTTCAATACAACGACGTTTTTATTAAAAACCGACGTATTATTTAGTTATAACGACGGTAAATAATTCAGAACTGACGTGGTTATCTCAACTGCCAAACGACTTTTGGAATTCCGATGTGGTTATGACGGCGCTTGTTTATCTAAACTGACGTTTAAACTGACGTTGTACTTAGAAATTGAACAACTATATATTTTAATAAACCGACGTGGTTACTTTGGGGTTTTGAAAACGACGTCGTTCTCTTTTTAGTACGCGCCAAACGACTTTTCGAATTCCGATGTAGTTATGACGACACTTGTTTATCTAAACTGACGTTGATTATTTAAATATGACGTCGCTATGTATAATAGAACTGACGTGGATATTTACGATAATTTGTTTAAATATGATTTTTTCACGCGTTTTTTAACTCTCAGTTTTCAATTAGGGTTCCAACTTCTTCTTGCCCTTTGCTCTGTCTCATCAAATTCTAAAAAATTGTCTTTCTGAAAGCAAATGTTTTTAGTTGCGTTTTCGCCAAGCATGGGTTTGCAGAATGATTCCTCACAAGACCAAGCATGGGTTTGCAGCCTCACTTGCCCGTTTGAAGGCATATGAGGGTGTTCCTGATGCTCCTTATGATAAGATAAAGAGGATGGTCATTCATGATGCTCTAAAGTGTGCTTTTCACACTTTGTTGATTTTGATTTTATGAAATTATTAGTTATTGATCTGTGGCTGTGCAGGAGCTTGAGAACAAGAGGAAGGAGAAGGCCCAGCTTGCATATGAGAGGAAGAAACAGTTGAACAAGCTGAGGGTGAAGGCAGAAAAGAAACCACGATGTATTTGCCTAATTTGTGTACATATATTGTGTAAATATTGATCAA